GCGTGGAGTTAAGGGGTGGCTTGATACTTAGGGTAGAAGACAACTAAACCCAGAACCTAGTTGACTCCACCCCTGCCGGACACAGGACTCCATATAAGCTGGAGATTTTGTGCACAAGAGACAGACAGAGAGAGAGAGAGAGAGAGAGAGAGAGAGAGAGAGAGAGAGACTACTGCTATGGAATCCATATCATTCACCGAGACTCTTGACCAAGACCTTGTGCCGGACATGAAGACCAGAACTTACAAATTTAAGTTGCAACTAAAATAAGCTGCAGACTCTGAAGGGATCCCGGTATCATTTGATTATAACAACAATTGGGAAGGGTTAAAACCACTGTATATAACAAATAAACCAAATTGTTGTTTTTTGTGTAGCTCCTGAATTGTCGAACTGTTTACAATTCAGCGATCTTCTTCAACCCTCTGAGATAAAAAAAATACAACGTGGCAGAGGAAGAGGAGTGAATGGCCGTGAACAGACAAATACCAGATAGGTCAAGAGGAACTGTGCATATAACGATATCAGTGACAACAAATCACATGCTCAAGTGAAGAGTCAGTAAAATGGTAGCCACAGTGGTCTGAAGGAACTTGAGGGCCGATGACTAGGGTACAGTTACCGCTGACCAAAGGTCGACGACAGGGGGATATACTGGTGGTGTTTTATTTACTCTACAACAGTTACCAAATTCAGTTTCACTTATGTCCTTTTAAGAACCATAACAGTAACACCAAGTATTGTTTCAGAAATATCCTTTTTTTATGAATCATATTTTTAGTTACCAAGTTCAGTTTCACATATGTCCTTTAGGCACCAAGTCCAGTCTCAAAATAAAATGTCCTTAAGAATTATAGGCACCAAGTTCAAATATTAATTATCAGTATGTTTTTATTTACTGAAAACTGAAATATACTTGTCTAATGTTGCTTTTGGTAATCCTGAATTTTGTTTCTCTTTTTAAATTTACGTTTTTGTGTTCACAAGCTGGTCTGGTTCAATCTTTGAAGCAGTAAAAAATAAAATTAGCTTATTTTGTGCTTATGCCTCCCTAAAATTTTATACACTATATTTTTTTTGCAACACACTGACGTATATTGTAATTCTCACAGTATTTAGTATTGTTGAAGTCATCGCGAACATTTTTTGTCAAGATTTCCAAAGTCTACGTTTCAATCAATTTTGCAAACCAATCGATGAAATTTGAATGTCGAGATAATTTGTTTTGTAAAAATACTTTGACAAAAAAAACCTATTTCGCGGTTTTTACGCACCTTAAAACCACCAGTACTTTATGTACCCTGTTTGTACTTCTCCCCAAAATTTGATTTCGATCGATCAATATGGCTATTTTCGAGGGCGGACAGATTAACAGAAGTTACAGAATATACAATTTTGTTAACTAAACGCGCACAAAAATTACACGAAATTATCTACCTTACATTTAAAACAGTGTGAAGTTGTCGCCCTTTCATTATTTTTATCATAATACCCACAACAGTAAAACTAACTGTACAGGGTGTTCCAAAAGTCACGCGACAATTCGCAGAAAACATACACTTGTGAAATAGCAACCAGGGAAATTTTGCGTGACATCATCCTCCATAATTCAACCAATAAAATTTCTTAATATATTGTCACATACAGAAACATAATTCTATTTGGTAAATAAATATAAAATTTAAAAAAAGGTTATCAATGGTAATGCGACTTTTTGGAACACCCTGTACTTTTTACCCGCTTACCTGTTAGCACTTCTCCCCAAAATTTATTTTTTATCGAATGTGTAGCTATTTTAGAGGGTATGATGTACGTACGATGGACTGACTAACTAAAGTCACAGAATTTTATATAGAGATTTTAAATTTTATACAACTGGTGTGTCTTGGTCAGCCTATGAACTCTTCAGTTAAGCTTGTATGTAACATGTGATGTCACAAGTGAGATTTATGAAATGCATCAAAACTTTTATTCACTCTCATGATTACATCTGCAGTGACACAGAAAACTGAAAGCATTAATCTGAAGTAAGCAGATGTTTCACGCATACATTTTTTTAATCAATTCAACTTTTGTCCTCAGCCCATATGCATATTTATGTGTATGTGTACCCAATGTAAAAAATGCCTTTGTGTCACATCCTCCCTTATCAATCTTATATATATATATATATACATATACATATATGTATATATGTATGTAGGTAGGTATTTGTATAAAAAAGAATTTATATCTCCCTTGCCAAAATTCACTCATATTTTAGCAGAAAAAATATCAGTGTAACCTGGTAACATTTAGTTACAATTTTATTTCCTGCAGCCTTTGTAATAACCATTGTTATTGTCTGCTATTTTATTTGCTACAGTTTAGTCAAGTAGAGTTAAAAGAAATTTACAGAATTGTCAAAATAAGTCAAAATATTCTGTTTAATTAGATTTACTGGAAAATATACTGGATTATTTAAACAAGTGAAAAAATAGTAAATTTGTTTCCTTCTCATGATTGAGTTTCCTGTTCCTTCTAAAGTCTACTTCAAAACTATACTTCTAATGTCTTCACATAAACTTTGAAATTTTATTTAACATTTATTTTTTCCTTTAACAGGAGTGTAGGTTTATTCCTTGTTTCCTGTTTAGGATTGGGTTTCCAGTTCATTCTAAAGTTTTCTCATTCTCATTCATTCCCAATAGCCCCTTGTGTCTTAGTGGCATTATCGCCTTGTTTGTGATTAACTGATTAAGAAAAAAATTAGTTTTTGTTATTATTAATACAAACACTATTTTGAATTATTAATAAAAATATTACAGAATTGTTTAATATAACAAATGTTTATTCTATTTTAATAACTGCATTTAGATATAAATAAAATAGATAGCTTTCCTATCTAACTAAAGAAAAAACGTATTTTAATAAATGAAGCTAATCTGTTGTTGAATTAATATTTATTATTATAATAAAAACATTACAAAAGTATTTAAATACATAAATACAGTCTGATGTTGAATTTTTACTATTCATAAAACATTAACAGAAATTCTATTTCAACTTAATTTTCTCTGTCTATAGGATGGGTGTCAGCCAGTTTATTAAAACTTGTCTATATTCTTTTATACAAAAAAAATATTATTTTTAGTTGTTTGCGTGAAGAGTACACCCTGCCTCATAGAAGAATTTGTAATTGCCTACTCCAAGTTCATTGATGAAAAATAGGTGAAGAATAAGATTTTACAGAGGTCTATAAATGATGGCCATCCAAGAACTTAAAAGTGGATTTAGATTATTATCATAGAATTTTTTCTATATCAAAATTAGTTTAGTATTTACATTAGTCGGACTATTGTCCTCATCTTTGTCGCCATATTTGTCACAACGTTTCAATCATTGTACGCTTCAGCCTTTTTCAGGTGGTTGGAATTTTGAACTGAACCCTTTATTTCGATCACTGGGGTAGACTGTTCTAGTTCCACGTGCCATGTTTGATGGATGTCAGTTATCAGTTATCTCCTGCTAATTTTCCCTTTGAAAGTTCTCCACTGCCTTAACCGGGTATTGAACTCACACTCTTTGGGTCTGTCACTGGATCTAACCAATGCCTTTATCCACTGTGCTATGTGTCCTTGAGTGTGAGTTCAATACCCGGTTAAGGCAGTGGAGAACTTTCAGAGGGAAAATTAGCAGGAGATAACTGATAACTGACAACCAAAACATGGCACGTGGAACTAGAACAGTCTACCCCAGTGATCGAAATAAAGGGTTCAGTTCAAAATTCCAACCACCTGAAGAAGGCCGGAGTGTACAACGGCCGAAACGTTGTGACAAATATGACGACAAAGATGAGGACAATAGTCCGACTAATGTAGATACTGTACATAATATCTCATCTCAGAAATATAGACAGACTCCAAAATTAGTTTGTTTAGACAAATTGTGGTAATCAGTATGTCTTGCATTAAAAAAAATTTAGAAAGAAATGGATTTTGAGTGATCAAGATTTCATAAACATTAGAATCATAGAATCTTCATAGTTTATTATTAATGATAGAATCAGGGCTTTTACATTCATGATATTCTCTGATTTTCTTCTCTCTATTAAATTTATTATTTTATCTTTATTTAAACACATTAACTCAGCATAATCTTTCTTCACGACCAATTTCCGTATGGCGTAATCTGTTTACATTTATTTTGATTGCAATTTTTATTTACTTTCAAAAACACCATTCTTTAGGATCCCTTCACATAAAGCCACTCTTAAAAGACATTAGGGAACTGTGTAGTATTCAGAAGTAATTGAGATCTCTCTTCCACCCCTGTTGAGAATGGAACAGTCGACTTTATTATAAGCAGTTGATTTTCTTCCACATGTATTGATAAAAAGTAGAATAAAGCTTATCTTTAAGTTTATTCTGGCTTTCTGTTTTCACTACAGGAACCCGAATTATATAATTGTAATATTTCGGATACGTAACAGTACACGAGCTAGAAAAGAGAAAAAAAATCATGAACAACATACCATGACCTGCTTAAATTTTAATTATGGTTTTCTTATGATATCAATTGCAATTGTGATGAAAAGAGAAATTAAAGTTAAAAAAACCTTGAATAAAGTATTGTTTTTAAACCTTTCACTTTGTTTGATATTTAAATTTCACTTTAAATGAGTTATTTAATTTCAATCACGTCTTACTCTTTAAGAGTATTTACTAACAGGCTGTTTATGATTCACTGAGATTGAAAAAGGGATGGATACACGTACGCTGCAGATTATAAATGGTAGAATCAGGGATTTTACTCATTAACGATAGAATCAAAGCTTTAATATTTATGATATTCCCAGCTTTCTTCTCTCTTTTAATAAGTTTATTATTAACGATAGAATCGGGGCTTTTATATTCATGATATCCACTGCTTTCTTCTCCCTTTTATTATGTTTGTTATTAGTGATAGAATTGGGGGTTTTATATTAATAATATTCATTGCTTTCTTATCTCTTTTATTAGGTTTATTATTTGTGATCGAGCCACAACAACTAATCCAAAGGTTGGCCAATGTATGAACGGATTTATATTCAACTTTAATCGCCAAGTCTGTGAAAGTAGTCAAGACCATATTATTACATGTAAAAATGTAATTAATCCATGCAAACCAATTCCTGCAACTCAAAAGATAATTGATGCTAATCTCCTCTATTTTGGCTGCAAGGATGATCCCACAAAGTTCATTCAGTGTGACAGATGGGGTAGGATGACGGTTAAGCAATGTAAAAACAAAACTACTTGGTCACAGAGAGACCTAGCATGTGCAGGTCAATAAAAATGTTTTTGATACATGTTTTTTATATGTCTTTGTGCTATTAAACTTGATACACTATAAGAGAAACATATCTTTATTCATGTGGGAAAAAATAAACAGTCTTCATAATAAAAACATTAAAGATGAAAAGAAATTGTGATAAAATTGACATTCATAAATATGCCTACATTCATAAATGCTTTTATATTCATGGGGCAATCAGTGAGAAACAAACGTAGTACCTTCAAAATATATCCATTAAAGATGTAAAGAAAGAATAACATATTGGGTATGGATAGTTTTAAATTTTGGGGGCACCCAGCGAGAAACAAATATGTCTACACACAAATATACATTTAAATTCTTGGGGCACCCGATGCGAAACAAAACAATTACCTTACTAAAAGCACATCCCCAATTATAGAAAATAATATATCCATTAATGATATCAAGAATTTGTCATAAAATAGCCAATCATAAATATGTCTACACTCATATATACATTTAAATTCATGGGGCACCCAATGCGAAACAAAACCATTACTTTACTAGAATAGTATCCACAATTATAGAAAATAATATATCCATTAATGATATGAAGAATTTTTCATGAAATAGGCACTGATAAATATGTCTACACTCATATATACATTTAAATTCCTGGGGTAGCCAATGAGAAACAAAACCATTACCTTACTAGAATTGTATCCCCAATTATGGATAATATATCCATTAATGATATGAAGAATTTGTCATAAAATAGGCACTGATAAATATGTCTACACTCATATATACATTTAAATTCCTGGGGTAGCCAATGAGAAACAAAACCATTACCTTACTAGAATTGTATCCCCAATTATGGATAATAATATATCCATTAATGATATGAAAAATTTGTCATAAAATTGGCAATCATAAATATATTTACACTCATATATACATTTACATTTATGGGGCACCCAATGAGGAAGAAAACCATTAACTTACTAGAATAATATTACCAATTATAGAAAATAATATATCCCGCAATGATATCATGAATTCGTCATAAAATGGGCAATCGTAAATATGTCTACACTCATATATATATCTATATTCATGGGGCAGCTAATGAGAAACAAAACCATTACCTTACAAGAATAGTATCTCCAATCACGGATGGATCAAAATATATCCAGTAATATCATGAATTTGTTATAAAATAAGCATTCATAAATACATCTACAATCATTTCTAAATTCATTGGGCACCTACTGAGAAACAATCGCACTATCTTCCAAGTACAGAATTTCCAACCATGCCTCAAAATACATCCAGTAAAGGTATAAAGAAATTTTCATAAAATGGATATTTATAAATATATCTCCACTCTTAAATAGTTCTACATTTACAGGGCACCAAGAGAGAAACAAAACTACTGGCTTACAAGGATATAGTTGCCAATCATAGCCCAAAATATATCCATTAATGATATCAAAAACTTTTGTAGAATAGTTATTCATATGATGCCAGTCTTAACTGTTTTATTTTCACATGTTTTCAATTGATACCTGAGGCAAAGAGTTTCTAAAATACTTGCAAACATTTCCAGATAAGTATATGACAGGTATTAACTTAAGCTTGGGTTTTCACAAGTCTTATAAGTCATTAAATTAACTTAAATGATCTATAAAGTGAATGCTCCATTTACTTGGTGAAAAGATTAAAATGCAAAAATTAAAAAAAAAATGACCTTCTTGAGAATGCCAGTGGATCATAGTAAGATTTATTTGAAAACTCGGAAAACTTCAAAATAACAGAATCAAAGATATAAACAAATAATGTAATCTATTTGAATGACTTCAGTATGAGCAAATCCTTTATAACTTTGGTTGTTGAAAGCTTGTTAGGCTTGTTAGTTGTTAGTTATTAGTTTGAATCAGACTTTATTAGTAATCATTTTGTTGTCAGTTGTTGAAAGTGTGGTTACTTTGATAACATCTTGCGGTGCAAATATGCTGATTATATTAGCTTTCAAAAAGAGCAGAAAAATGTCTTAGCAAATGACTGCTTACTTTTTTATGCAACACATTCAGATGCAGTTTCTCATTGTCTCTTTCTCTCTGGTTGTCTCTCTGCCTGTTCACTTAGCATTTTCAACAGTAAAATGATGAGACCTGCTTGTAAAAAGAAATTGGCAGGCTGAGTTCAAATTCAATCCAAATTGAAAAAGGGATGAATCCATCCCTCTCTCCCTAGCTATAGGATAAATAGCAATGCAGACTGGCCTTTCTAGCCTTAACTGGCAACCAGTCTAGGAGAAAGACAACTCTGAATTCAAAATTACTTGTGCATTTGGATGGTAACTCTGCCCTATAAAAGCCTATTTGTCATAGAAATGATAACAGGATGGTTTGACTGTGGCACTAAACTACGAGAGAGAGAGAGAGAGAGAGAGAGAGATTTCTGCCATCTTTAAATTAAATTTTTTTAAATAACATAGTAATAATGTAAGTCACTGTTGTTCGGTTGGTTTAAAATAGTAATTTAGCCATCAATAAATCAATATCAATAAATATGCTTTCACCACATAAGAAGGTAAATTCTTATCTTTGCCAATAAAAAATAGATATTTAGTATAATTAGAAAAATCATGATAATCATGAAATTATTTAAACAGTAAAAAATCAGTTCAAGATAATTTTTATTGTTTGAAACAAAAAAAAAGACATTATTGTTCAGCAATTTCCCACTGTTATCATATTACATTGGATTTTGGAAGGTTATATCATTTCAAAACATTTCCTACTGACCCAAATATAAACAAAAACAATAATTACAAATATAAAAAACAATATACGGAAGATGGCATACAGAGGCATGAACTCATATTTTAAATTGGAAAAGACTTCAGATAACTTTAATATCCGATGAACCATGAAATTTCTTTCTTTCTCATTTGTCTTCAGCACAATGTCAATTATGCAAAGAATGTAGAAAAAGAATTAATCTGAAATTAATTGAAAGATTTCAACATGATTCCCAGACCCTTGTAACTGATGTGCATGATTAATGTTTTTGTGAAACCTAAGTTTTTTTAACAATCATATATTGTCACATCACAAATCCTGTAACCCATTATGTAGGTATGTCAAGGAGACACATGTATTAGCCATAACAGCTGTAGTGCATCTAAAGCAAGATAGCTTAACAGAGCCCATCCCTTTTCAGGCTTGTTTTGAATTCAGAGATTCCTTTTCCTAGACTGGTTGCCACCTTAAGGTAAAAGAGTCCAGCCTGCTCTGCTACTTAAACCATAGCTGGAGGAAAATGGATTCATGCCTTTTCCAAGGTCATTAGTGTGACGTGAATGAAACAGAATTGACTGGACATGGCCAATTCACTTTTCATCTTAAAAAAATTTGTTTTCCAGAAAAGACAGTGAAAAATTCTTACTCCTGTAACACAGTATAGTAGACTGATTAAATTTTATTTGTATATTTCATGGTGATGAAGGAAAAAATGAATAAATATAAAATTAACTTGGGTAAGATTATGAAAAAATGAATAAATATAACTTAAAATTAATTTGGATAAAATGAAAGTAAAAAATAAAAAAAATTAATCTTGATAAGACTATGAAAATATAAATAAATATAAAATCAATTTGGATAAGATGAAGAAAGAAAGGAATAAATATAAAATTAATTTGGAGAGGACTATGAAAAATTATATCGTATATTGTAACTAAACTTGTTTGGGACATTTTTTTTTAGGAAAAAAAAAATTATTAAAGACAGAACAATAAAAAAAAACAGGAATGAAGACAGAAGATAAAAATTTAAATATTGATTGATGAGTATTTCATCGAATCAGGAACAAATGGATTGTCGGCAGAAATTATTCGAAGTTACTTCCCTTATATCAGCAAATAAAACAAATAGCATCACTTGGAATTACAATTAATTTTATTTTATTTTTTTATTTAAATAGCGAAAAAAAAATTACTCACTGTGATCCAACAAATTTTAATGTAAAAATCAGAGTATATTTATTGACACTTATTTACTTTTTATTGATTACAGTATTAAAATGTTTATTTTTCTTAATGTTATATTTATCATTTATTAAATATTGTATTTGTTTTAGTAGTTTCTAATTGCATTAAAAAGGTTTCATTGTTACTTAATATTTTAAGTTGTTGGCAACTCAGAAAAAGTAAAATAAAAAAAAAGTAATGCAGGAAATGGAAGATTCAACCAACAAAGTGAGCAGACCAAAAATTAAATACTTCGAGAAAGAAAATGAATAAAAAAAAAATCATCATGTTATATAGACACAATTTTTTAAAACTCTTCTTTCAAATTAATCGCGCTACACAAACGTTCAGGAAATTAAAACAGTCTCTCTAATCTATGTAAGCATTACTGTTTATTGCGTCAAGCATATAAGCAGGCAAAGGAATATTTTGTAGTGGGTGAAGGAAACTAGGTTTCAAGGGAAGTAACTCTTTTCACGGCCAAGTTATTTTGTATGGTAGAATGGATTTTAATTGGAACATAACAGTATAAGAACAATTTGACCTAGTTAGTTAGACGCCCTGTCTATATGAAACAGCATATAAACAATTTTTCTTATTATGTTATATATTTGTATTTTATAGTAATGAATAGCGGCTCGGATTGAGAAATGGGATAGCCAAGTTTGAATAATTTACATTCACTTACGTGCTAGTACCCTTGGGAAAGGTAGGAATCCTCTACTTCTCTTCCCAGCTATGGGTAAATAGCAGGACAGACTGTGTTCTATAGCCTTGGATGGCAACTGGTCTACTGCAGGAAGAAATGGCAACCTACTGTGGGAAAAAATCTGCCTTGTCATTCATGTATCGAAAGATACATGATCATCTACGCGTGTATCACACATAGCACATCACTGACTGACTGCTTTATAGTAGCAAAGACAAAATAAAAAAATAAACTAAATTGAGTAAATTTTATCTCCAAAATCTTAAAGTTCAATTTTTTTTTTTTTTCTTTCGTTTTTTTAAGTCTTAGATTTAATAATATACTGAGTTGGTGAAATCCTTCATATTCCTTGATGTTAGAAAAATTCCTCAAGTGAAAGTGTATGAAAATAACTGACTGCTTTTATGACTTTCTTATATATATAAAATTGTGTATTTGGGCAGCAATCCCTCTTTTTATACAAGTTTATTTGACTCACATTACACCAATCTAACCATAGCTCAATTAGAACTCATTTAAACACAGAAACCTACCATCTGCAACACCATCATCTGACCATAGTCAGAATCATTGAACCAATTTCTTTAGCTGTATAGTATGTGCTACACTAAGACTACATACAGTTTTGAATTCAGAATTATTTTCTCCTATACTGATTGCCACCCAAGGCTATAGAACCAAGTCTGTCCTGCTATTTACTCATAGATGGGGGGAGAAGAGGAGGATTCATACCTTTGCCAAGGGTGTTAGTGTGTAAGTGAATGTAATTGATCTGATTAGAGTTTGAACTTGAATCTCTGATTTCTTCAATCTGAGCCCCTATCCATTACTCCACTATGCTTCCACAACATAGTAGTAGAAAATACATCCACATGTAAAAAAATATACATACATATAAAACCAGCACAGTCAGTTAAAAATAAAAAATAATGAATAAAAATCATTCTTGATAATGGCTAAAAGTGCTCAGATATGCACAACTTTTGGACAGTTTTTTTACACACTTTATGTCCAAAAAAGAAATCACTTGTACAAACATAAGACAAATTAAATAAAAAGCTTAATTGCTGTACTTTGTCAGTCATCTTTAATGAAACTTATATATATATATATATATATATATATATATATATATATATATATATATATATATTTATATATATATATAAAGACAATTATATAATATATAATTAAACAATCCAGATCATGAATATGTAAAAAAAACCAAAAAAAACAAAAACAAAACAAAAGGAGTGAAGGTCGAGTTTGCTATGTAAATTAATTTTTGTTTTTACATTTTACTCCAAGCAAGGAAATAAAGTCACTAAAATGCAAGGGGTTACTGAGTGTGAGAGAATATGAGATTAAAAAAAAACATTAAGAGGCAGAGAGAGCAATAAAAGAATTAAGAAGATAACAATTAAATTTTTGAAGATGAAAGTTGGCTGGAAAGCAAGAAGCTGGAAAAGAGTTCCACAAACAAGAAGTGTGATAGAAGAAGCTGTTAGGATAGAACTTACAACTACATCTAACAATTTCAACTGCCAAACTAGCACTGCACTTGAATTCATTAATCATTAAATCAAGCTACCAAAGAAAAAAAGCTCATCAGCACAATTACCAAGAAAATGTTTATAGAAAAGGAACAGGAAAGCTACATCATGGTGGGAAAATGACTTAAGCTGAGATGCCAGGTCAAGACCAATAACATTGATAATTCTTCTTTGGATTTTATCAAGAATCTCTAAATTAAATACATAGCAGAAACAACAGAACAGCTGTGGCAGCAATATTCAATGCATAGATGTATGGTAAACTTATATATGTGTAAGAATAAGATAGTTTCTGGTGAGAAAAACTAACACCACACATTTAAACAAACCTTACTTGCAGAAAACAGTAAACCTAACAATTGATTTAATCTTTCGACCAGTGACGTAGCTAGTGTTTTTGAGACCTGGGGCGGCCCTCAAGTTTGCCGCCCCTCCCCAGAAGGAATACAATATTAATACACTAAACCCCTTACAGTCAACGACGAAATTTTTCACCCATCAATTTTTAATATTTTTATTTCTCAGAATAATGCCCGAATGATGCCAGCTTTTTTTTTTTTACGGTGTTTCTGTTAAAAACTTGGACAACTCCTCACCGATAAATTATTAAATAAAAGTACAAGTGTGTTTATTTAATTTATTTATTAAAAAAACAAAAAAGAAAATGGAGATATGTAAAAAAAAAACGAAGACGTTATTTCTTTTTACGATATTGAAAAAAAGATAACTTGTTTTTGTTTATATACTCTAGTGTTTTAAAAGAAAAACGAAAGACAACACATTGTATTTTTAATTCATAATTTATCAGTTTTTTAATATTTATTTCAATTCAAACAAGTGAGAAGTAAATAAATGCGACGTTGACAAAAACACGGTTCGTTTTTCTTTTAACAATTTAAAAAAAAATTTTTTTAATTATTTTGTTTTTTACGTAGTTGAAGTTATTATTAGCAAAGTAGTGTACTAGTGTAAACTAAGAAAATTTTTTGTTATATGTGCCATGTGTGATACACGCTTTAAGCGATTATGTATCTTTCGATACATGACTGACGAGGCAGATATTTTTTCCCTGCTGTAGGTAGCCAATTCTTTCTGCGGTAGACCAGTTGCTACCCAAGGCTATAGAACCCGGTCTATCTTGCTATATTTTACCCTTTTTTTAGCTGAGGAGAGAAGAAGAGGATTAAACGTCCGATATAATCAATTTATGAAAATTAACGATTTTATATCCGTATTTAAACTAAAGCTTAAAAAAAACAATTGATTCACTTATTTATTTAATTTTTTTTTTCACTAACATGAACTGTTAGTGAAAAAAAAATTAAACAAATAAGTGAATCAATTGTTTTTTTTCACAGACATAAAAAATCAAAATTAATGAACTGACGCTAAGCGGCTAAGGTTTGGACTTCTCACATAGGTTTGAAGAAACTGTGGATTCAGTAAATTCACTTAAAATCCAATCCCACTCAAGCCCTTTAAAAATGTTAAAATTTTTCCACACCTTTTCTTGTAAGTGGGGTTTATCCCCACCAGCTGACAGTGCGTTTTAGAGACAATTTGGCTGGCTCACTTTGTTGAGCTAGCTAGCCATATCAAAGACAAATTGGCTTCATTTGAACCCTGTCTTTTTCCTTATTGCTCCTTTTTTTTTTTTTCTTTCAAAAATGAAATATGAAATATTGAAATTATGAAGCTACTGTTTTTTTTCTTTTCTGAACACTCACCCGCGGACCAAAAGTACCGCCCTTGGCGGACGGCCCTCTCCTAGCTACGCCACTGCTTTCCACCTCATCTCAGTAGAAAACGTAGCCCAAGAAGGCGGAATGAGTTTACACTCTATAATTGCTTGAGTGATTCGTTTTCTACGGCTTATCAACTCTTTTTGCAGGTTACTTAAAGCTAGAAAATATTTTTTAGATTGTAAGATTTTTTTGAGATAATTGTTTAATGATACAAGATAAGTCTTCTTACTAACTAAAGAAAGGTATTTTTGTGCGTAAGTCAAGTTCAAGTATATAACAAAAACCCAACGCGGGATTGGAACTAGTAAGTTACTAGGCTCTCCAATTATTAACAATTCCGAGTTTTTATCCATTGTACAACCGTATATTTCCAAGCAGTCACCTATCTAGGTACTGACCAGGCTCGACGTTGCTTAACTTCGGTGATCGTATGGGAACCGGTATTTCAGCGTTATATGGCAGTAAGCCTTATGAATCAATAAATGTTCAATGAGCTTTCTTTATCTCATTCATTGACTCATTCCAGAGTTTCGTGTCAAATCGTTCGCCAGGGTCTCAAAATGCTTGATAAATTGATTGAAATATCAAAGTTGATAGGCATATAAAATAAAAAAGTAAAACAATTATTATTTACGCTGTTGTAAAAAAAGAAAATCACTGTAGGGGAAAAACAGTAATTTATTGAATTAAAAGAAATTAGGAAGTATTTTTATTCCAGTTTTCTTAATTTAACAAATAATGCGCCGTATGTATGTGCATATTTTTTTTAGTTTTTAGTGTGCAGTGTAAAAATGCAATTTTGCGCTTTATGAAAGTTATTTCGGGTGTCAGTATCTGTTTGTTCCAAGATGCTAGCGAAGGAGAGAGGTGAAAAGACCGACTCCGTGGGAGAATAATACCGAATTGGCAAAAATAAAGGGTCACTCGCATCACATGTGAAACCCTAGGGCCTAAAGAAAAGAGGGATTTATAAACATACAAAACAGAAACTTTGACAGCGTCATAAATAAACAAACTAAGTAATTGAAACTACATTTTTTATTAGTTAATTTAAATTAAGTTTCAATTACTTTTTTGTTGGCAACGCTTTTCCAGTTAATTATTGGAAATATAGTGTGTCGTGAAATTTTAGGGTAGTGTGTGATTTGTGCCTCCTCACTCTTCTTATCCCTAAGTTTGAAAAGTATGTAAAAAAAAAGTACCATATGGGGATTTGGATAAACAACCCTATACAAAACTTTTCTGGGCACTTTATGTATGCTGTTTCCCAAATTAATCAAAGTTTTTTTCACTTCACTTCACTTTTTTTTTATCAAATTACTAGCCTTGAACCCTTGTCTTGTATCTCCTGACAACTCTGAACCACACCCTGCAAAAGATCGATTTTCTGTTGTTAACGTTATTCAATCAACAGCCCTAATCCTGAACCCATTATTAAAGTATCAGAACCAGTTCGTTGGTAATAAATAATGAAATGGCTCCGTAACTAGCACATTATTAATTGATTTTCCTAACTTGGTGAACTTGTTTTCTCATCCAGTGTATCAAAGCAGCCGTCTATTTGGCTTAAATAAATAAGTTATATAATTACTCTCTTCTCGTCAACTCAGACAAAAAAAAACAGCTGCAACTTCTTGAAAATAATAATAAATAAGTAAATAAATATTAATTATGAAAAAGAGAAAAAAATCTATCGTTAGAGGAGAAAGGAGAAGCAACAAAAATATGTCAGACATAACTAATGCTGTAAGTGGCAATGATATTCTTTGTCTATTTATCGATTAGTTTTTGACAAAACTGAATTCAAGTTTTGTATAGACTAGACCGACATTTTTCGCTTTGGATCTCGGTAGGCGGGAGAAACGAAGTCAGCACGCAACTTGCTATTTTCTTCTTGATCGTCGTCATTATCGTTATGCAGTTGAAACTGGATAGTACCTATCTCCGTGTTATCGGGGGAATGTCCCTCGTTTGGCTTTTGATCATTTCCAGGGGACAAAAAGTTTGGTACTACATTGATTTAATTTTATCCGTCCTCGCCGGCTGTGCATTCCTTATACTTGCACCCCAGTTTCTCAGGTCCCAGGTAAAAACAACAAAAATCTCATCTCTAAGTCTAAACACTTCAATCTTCATCTTTTATTTCCATCTTCATCTCCGTTTGACGTTTTTGCTTGACTGAAAAAAATTTCCTATTCAACTTGAATTGATTTATTGCATTTTTTCTTTGTTTTTCTTTAGGTAAAACAACAAAAAAAGTAAATCTATTTTTATTTTTAGTTTTTGTTGACTGTACTTTTTAAGGGAGTGACAATATTTCAGCCTCTCTCGTCTTCGGGCGCGTGGGTGGATAGAAAAAGTTTCGCGCTTAACCGTTAACTTTTTTTTATGTCGATACCTAACTACTAACTAACCTATATTGATGTAGGTAGATTTTAAGTTTTTAATATTCTGGTTAGATTATTTTTTTAATGAAAATAATAAATAAATAAATGGAAATAAACTTTAAAAAAGCCGTAAGCCGCAATCTCTTGTTTGTAGCTAAATAAGTATTGGGCGATTGTTGTTTTTATTTATTTATTTATTTATTTTAATTGCAATAAAATAGCAGTTAAATAAAATCATTGGTTACATTTATTTAGTTGTTGCTTTTATGTTTATATCATTTAATTATTTTTTTAAATTTGAAAATATGAATTTAATCAATTATTCTTTTCTTTACGTTGAGTTTTTTGTTGGTTGTCAAGTAACTAAAAATTCTTGTAAAATCCAAATGTTATTTTCCGCCTTTTTTTTAAAGCTAAAAACGTCAAATTTTGTGAAAATATTACTCGGTGCTCTTTTCTCACTATTAGTTTACGTTTTCATTTTCTGCTTTTTTGAACATCTTTACTTTTTTATTTTTCAAAGCTTTTTTTTTCTTTAATTAATGATTAATTCTTTGGAAATACATTCATTTCATTTTAAATTTATTTATTTATTTTTACAAGACAAAGAGTGTTGCTTGACAGTTATACTTCAACAGCAACTATTATTTTCTTATGTTTAAAAACCCGAATAAATTCCCCCCGCCCCAATAAAAACGTACAAACAATTATTACAATGAAAATAAATTAAATTGTTTAATTTTGCTTTTGTAAACAAGTTCCTGTTGTGTATTTTTTAAAAATCTCAGCAAATATTCCCGCGAATCCACGTGTTTAAATTTTGACGGCTGGTTCATTTTAAAGTTTTTAAAAAGTAATAAATTTTTTTTAACTCTGTGTTTATTTTTATAATTGTCACGAATTAACATTTTTTTCCGTTCTAAGCAAATAAGTTTATTTTTGGGGGGGTATTGCCCCCTTCCAACTTTTAAAAATGGTTTTGGTTTGTTTCCACTTCCAGTCTAGAATATTTCGAAAACCACTGAAAGAAACGGAGTGTTGAATATTTTTTTTGTTTTTTACTCTTGGCTCTTTAAAAATAAATAGGTTGGAATAAGAAGAAACAAACAATTTATTTTAAAACTTTAATGTAAAACTTGGGAGAGTCTTTTCAAGTTTAATTTTATTTTTTATTTTATTTTACTTTTTTTTAGAAAGATAACGTGAATGTAAGAGAACTAAAATCATAGTTACCCCACTACTCCACACACTTTTTTATGAACACACTTTGCCTTATTAAATGTACAACCAAACAGAAACTGGATGAAGTTAGTACTTGTGTAGCACTGTTCACTGGTGACCCATTATGCCCCATATGATTAAAAGCGAAACCTACTCGAGAATAAAACGGACGTTATTTATTTACTTACACTTTTGGCTTGTTAAAAGCTTTTGTAATGGTGCAAAACTAGAAAGTGATTTTTATTGCTTTGTCGAGATGATTTGAAGAAAGGAAATATAAAATAAGGTTAAGTGGTTTGAGCTTCGACAATAACATGAGCTTTTTTGTTTCATAATTCTAAGTCATTTAACAAAATGGAAATTTAATTTAAACATTTTTGTACAGTACACTAATTTGAGCCCTTCCCTCCCCACTCCTCCAAAAAATTAAGATTATTACTCCAGCAATTTTTCGGCACTACTTAAATAGACTGGTCCCCTCGTTTAAAAAAAAAAAAAAAAAATTTTTTTTAAAATAATTTTTGTAGATTTTTAACATCATTGATAACTGCATATGAAATGGACGAAGTCCGACAATTATTTTATTTTTTAATTTTTATATTTTCTGTTTACGTTATTTTTAGAATAAATATGTAAGTAAATCCTCTGTTTATAAAAAAAAAAAAAAAAAGTTATCTACTGGCCAAAATGTCTGATAAATATCGTAGAAAAAAAATGTCGTCCTTTGACAGGAATCGGACCTGTATCCTGGATCATTTGGCCTGGCCTGATGTGCTATATAGTAAGAGAGGAAGCGTCTGATTACCAAAGTCAAATTGTTTTTAAAAAACAAATTTCCCATGATTTTTCTTGAACGATCATATCTGCATTAGGCGTCGTAAACAAATGACAACATATGAAATGGACTAGGTCTGATAATTATTTTATTTTCTGTTTATACGTTATTTTTAGGTACAAAACTACAAATATTTAAAAAATTCTCTGTTTAAAATATATGTCCTCCGACTGATGATGGTTCCGTTTACAGGCGTGATACCTGTGTCGGAGGACATACATTTTCTACAATATTTCTCAGGCATTCAAGCCCCGGTAAATGTAGTTATTGTTTATTATAAACAGAGCATTTACTTAAATAAATGTTTATATCTAAAAATAACGTATAAAACGGGGAATATATATATATATAATATATTATTGTGTTTCTTTGTTTTCTAAAAACCTTTTTGAAAGCACATACAAAAATATTTGAGATTTCATTTAACAATTTTAAAAAAAAAAGAAGTGGGGACCTACTTTTTCTTAATCATGAATGTAAAATTGTGTTCTTAAAATTGAAAAATGTATTTGTTCTTTATTTAAAAGTTAAAAGAAATCTTTTTGTAACCTCTCACCTCCCAAAAAAAAGGTATTTTCATATGCAAAACAGTTAAGTCCAATGACTTTGTAAAATTCGGGGAAGGATTTGATTTAACATTCAATATTAAAAACAGGACACCACTATTTTTCGATTCTAAGGAAGGTCTCTATAGTCAAAAGTAGGCTAATGTATATGAATTATTTCCCCTAAATTTTTCCCTATTTTTACGAATGGACCAGTCTATTTAAGTAGTGCCAATTTTCCTTTTGTTTTTTTTTGTGTGGGAGGGTGACTCATGATATAAAAAAAATGATATTTCCGGGATTGTTGGATTGTCAAGTGGAATGTTTTATGGAAGCAAAAGACTTAACTAAGGTGCAGTTTGTATTTGTTTCCTGACAAACATTCTGCCTTAACCTCATTGAACTTGAAGAGCTTTACATTTTAATTAATCAGATTCAGAATAGTTTACTTTTTTGAGTTTTGTTTGTTAGTGAATGTCTTGCAATTCAGACCAGCCTGGTTATTCTCAAATTTCTGTTACACTGTCCAGCCTTCATCAGGTGTCTGTTTAAGACATACATGACCTAGTGGACTAAAGCATTGGTTAAAAAACATGTGATTCCTTGGCATATTCATGGATCTGGTAATGCTAATTCACATATTCTGGTTCAGTGGAAGAAACTGACAAGTGACACAAAGGTTAAAAATATTGATGAGGATTAACTAATTTGAAATATCCCAAAAAAACAGATAGTGGAATGAAAACAATATGTGGATTGAATAAAGTGTTCCGTTTAACATTTTGTAAAGATTACCAAGTACAAGAGAAGAAAGCCAGAAGTGATGATATTTGAAATGTGATTAACAACCAAGATGAGCATGGTCAGAATATCAAGACTATTAAAATGATTTCTTTATTTAAAAATTTAGCATAAATTATATTAATGAATACAATTGCTATGTTAGTGATTTCATTTATTCTTGGTCATCCACACTCCAGAAAAAAAAAAAAAAGTATTCATGAGCTTTAACAGTACTGATATTGGTAATTTAAAAAGTTTTCTTGTGTAAGTTCTTAGCTTCATAAGGATTGATTGATATATATTTGAAAAAAAAAAAAATTTAATAGTTTATCAAACTTTAGCAGGTTATTTAAAGCCAGAAAATATTATTTTTTAGAGTAAGAATTTTGGGGTGATAATAATGATTTACTGATACAAGTCCTACTAATCTGGGAGGAAATTTCATATCTTTCCAAAGAGTATTTGTGCATAAGTGAATATAATGAATCTAACTGGAATTGGAATTCAACTTCCTGATTTCCAATTCTGAGACATTATCCATTTTGCCACCTGCACGTTCAAACTTAAAGCACCTGGTATTCCCAAATGATCACTATCTATGTACTGAGCAGGCTCAATGTTATTTAACTTTGATGATAGTATGAGAGTGTTTTAAAGTGATATATCTGTAAGCTTGACTTTATAAGGAAAGAGACAAACTGTACTGAGATTGCTATTTGTTCCATATCTTTTTCAGCAGCTCTCAGAAATCTGGGGACGTGATCACACATGCAAAAAGGCATCTTCACTACACAGCATCAAAGCTTGAGTTCATGTTGGAATTTCAGTCTGAATTTTTCTGATGCAGAGTTATGCAGATTATTGTCCTCATCTTTGTTATCACAGTGTTTCAGCTGTTGTGTCCTCCAATCTTCATCGGGTATATGTTAATCTGGGTAACTTGCAGGGAATTCTGCATGGAACCATTTATTTAATTTTCAAGAGTAGACTGCTCTTGTTCCACTGTCCATGTCTCATGCTTATTTTTAGTAGTACTCATTTATTGCTCACTCTGTTTCCACCAAGTTTTAGCAGACACTACTCTGCTCAGGAATTGAACTCATAATTATTGTGTCACAAAATTCACAAACCAGTTTTCTTAATTTACTCAGCTATTGTCCCTATAGAAGCTAAATAATAGAGAAATGACCTACTGGGTGTTTCTGGTACCCCCAACATTGCATATGGACAGGATTACAGCCATTGTCACATTTCTGTTACTTCAGACAATTCTAACCAGACTCCTCTAGTCATAATCAATAAAGGACCATAGTCA